TGACATACTGTTGTAAACAAACTATAGTTTAGAAGTAGAAGATATATACCTGACATACTGTTGTAAACAAACTATAGTTTAGGAGTAGTAGAAGATATATACATGACATACTATTGTAAACAAACTATAGTTTAGAAGTAGAAGATATTTACCTGACATACTGTTGCAGGCAAACTATACAGGATAGATGTCCACAGTTAAGGAGTGGTGGGAACTGATCTGGAGTACATTCTGCTAGGCAAAGAGTACACTCATGGAGTCCTACCTCGTTCACCTGAAATGAAAATCTGTACTCTCAGCATACTCTAGGAGAAGATTTTGATTAAGTACAGCAAATAAAACAAGAAAGAGTTCATCATGGATTACAGGATGATATAAATAAAGTTAATCACCAGACAGTAAAAGATGCACCAAATAAAATGAAAGCAATGAAAAGTGATGCAGTATTTAACTTTAGCTCAGATTGCTTAATGGATTAAGTTAATAGATTGAAAAAATATAATTAGATAGACATAAGTTTTCTCAAAATCTCAAAGCAACTGAACAGATTTTTTAATCGCAATTTCTCTACACTTACCGAGTCCAGTGTACAGCGTTAAGTTAGCCAGTACCAATTCGTGCGTAATAATGTTACTCCCTTTTGGATTTTCATGAACACCCCCTCATTGAAACCAGATAAACTTTCTTTTTTTAAAGGATAATATAGAATAGCAACTAAATTTTTTTTTAGGAGATCTAAATGTTTATTTTGTAAAATTATAACATAAAACATTATTAGTTAAAAGATATGTGTATATACTAAATATACATGTTTATAATGACATTTTACATTTATATATATTTTCACTGTCTATTAAACAAAGATTAGTTCTCGAATGTGCGTGTACCAAATCACATCCTTTTGTGCTGGAATCTTTTGAGACAAAGCAGGCATAGAAATCCCCCACTTTTGCTCTTGTTCTTTTTGGGCAAAGATTACACTTGTCAGAAGTACAATATCCAAACATACTGTAGGAACTGGATGAGGGTGCTAGGTTAGATTCAGTGGTAGATTTGTTGGATCCATGAAATATGAGGTTGGACTTTGGAGAGGGATCTGATCCATCCAACTGGGGGATTAGAGATTCCCTCGGGAAGCTCACATCACAGGATGGGAAAGTTTCTATGTAAGAAGCACTAGAGAGTACTCCTCGAATTAGGGAACCTGCAATAATAGGGTCTCCTACAACGGATGGATCTTCACCAGGGGCTCCATATGTAGAGATACCACAGGTTTAGTGTAACATCTAGGCCTGATAGAGAACACTGATGATACAAGTCTAGGATCCTTTCTCTGAGTTCCATAGTAACTATAAGGTGACATAGTAACTATAAGGTGAAACTAAATTTTAATAGAATTAAATTGTTAACTTCTAAAAAATAAACATAAAACATCAGAAATATATATTTCTGAATAATAATTATTTCTGAATAATTCTTTATTCCAACTGATGATTGGGTTAGACCCATGAAACATTTTGTCTTGGAAGAAATATATATTTAAACATCTAAAATGTATATTTAAACTGAAAAAGTTGAAAATATATATTCTTCAGAAATATATATTCTTCAGAAATCTGATGAGATCCAAGTAGAGGCTGTTTATATCAGTTGAAACGCAACAATCTTCTTATAACATTTTATTCATAAACAAATTGTTTCATGCTTTTATGCAATCATCAGTATGAATTCTTCAGAAATATATATTCTTCAGAAATATATATTCTTCAGAAATAATTATTATTCAGAAATATATATTCTTCAGAACTATATATTATTCAGAAATATATATTCTTCAGAAATATATATTCTTAAGAAATAAATATTCTTCAGAAATATTTATTCTGCAGAAATATTAATTCTGCAGAAATTTATATTCTCCAGAAATATATATTCTACAGAAATATTTATTCTGCAGAAATATTTATTCTGCAGAAATATTTATTCTGTAGAAATATTTATTATTCAGAAATATATATTCTTCAGAAATATATATTCTACAGAAATATTTATTCTACAAAAATATTTTTTCTGCAGAAATATTTATTATTCAGAAATATATATCCTACAGAAATATTTTTTCAGCAGAAATATTTATTCTGAAGAAATATATATTTTTCAGAAATGAATATTCTTCAGAAATATTTATTCTGCAGAAATAAATATTCTTCAGAAATATATATTAAGAAAAGAATTAAAATATATTCTGATTCACAACATTACCCTTCAAAGCTTTGTCTGATCAAGTTTTGCATTAAAAATCCATGTTTCCCATTTTGAAAACTGAATATCTACAAAAGTGACTCGGGCATTTCTTGCTTCAGAAACGATGGAGAAATGAATGTTTCAAAGGTACATCGGAAATTACGCATTACTTAAATTACTTAAAACTGCATGTATTCCACTTAAGTATAATTACATCGTATAGGAAAAAATACTTTAAAATCTCACTTTTGCCCTTAACTAAAAAAAGTTTCATTAAAAAAGCTTTAATTAATACTGCCATCAGTGTAAATATATATTTGATATCATAATTTATTTTTTTTTTAGAAACGTTTCAATCTATATTTTTCATCCCTTGAACCTTACACCACAGTATTAATAGGGATTGCCTGGTCTTGTCCCCCCCCCCCCCCATTAAGAAAATTACATAAATTTAAGTTTACATAGTTAAAAAAGGTATCAATATTTTTTTCATAAAAGGGGTTTTTAAGGGGGGGGGGGTGCACAACATGTACCCCCCCTACACGAATGCTCTCGTATGCCCCTGTAATCTTCAGAAATATATATTCTTCAGAAACGCGCAATAAAACATGTTTACATTCTCCACCTATCAATCAGTAATCAGCAATGATAAAGTAATCAGTAGCCAACTAATCAACAGAAATCTTATTCTTTAATATAATTGTAAACAAGCTTGTTATCGAAATGGGAAAACATACAAAACATAACCAAACAGAGATATCAAATCAAATTAGGTCTTATAGAAAACATATCAAATACAGAACATTTCAACCATATCAGCAATGAAACATATCATACGTAAATGTATGTTCAAAGAAAGAATATCCACGTCCATTGATATCGTTGCAATTTTACAATTACTAAATTGCAGTATATTTTGCAAACTTAAATAGAAGAAAAATTTGTTCATCACAGAAGATTTGATAAATCTATTTCTAATACATGTGTCCACATTTAGCAATTAATACTAGTGTGAGGATGTAGGACACAATTGATAGCATAATAATATTATTTCTAATACATGGGTTCACATTTAGCAATTAATACTAGTGTGTGAGGATGTAGGACACAGTTGATCGCATAATAATCTTATTTCTAATACATGGGTCCACATTTAGCAATTAATACTAGTGTGAGGATGTAGGACACAGTTGATAGCATAATAATCTTATTTCCAATACATGTGTCCACATTTAGCAATTAATACTAGTGTGTGAGGATGTAGGACACAGTTAATCTAATAATAATCTTATTTCCTATACATTGGTCCACATTTAGCAATCAATACTAGTGTGTGAGGATGTAGGACACAGTTAATCTAATAATAATCTTATTTCCTATACATTGGTCCACATTTAGCAATCAATACTAGTGTGTGAGGATGTAGGACACAGTTAATCTAATAATAATCTTATTTCCTATACATTGGTCCACATTTAGCAATCAATACTAGTGTGTGAGGATGTAGGACACAGTTAATCTAATAATAATCTTATTTCCTATACATTGGTCCACATTTAGCAATCAATACTAGTGTGTGAGAATGTAGGACACAGTTGATAGCATAATAATCTTATTTCTAGTACATGGGTCCACATTTAGCAATTAATACTAGTGTGTGAGGTTGTAGGACACAGTTGATAGCATAATAATCTTATTTCTAATACATGGGTTCACATTTAGCAATTAATACTAGTGTGAGGATGTAGGACACAGTTGATAGCATAATAATATTATTTCTAATACATGGGTCCACATTTAGCAATTAATACTAGTGTGTGAGGATGTAGGACACAGTTGATTAATCTTATTTCTAATACATGGGTCTACATTTAGCAATTAATACTAGTGTGAGGATGTAGGACACAGTTGATAGCATAATAATATTATTTCCAATACATGGGTCCACATTTAGCAATTAATTCTAGTGTGAGGATGTAGGACACAGTTGATCGCATAATAATCTTATTTCTAATACATGGGTCTACATTTAGCAATTAATACTAGTGTGAGGATGTAGGACACAGTTGATAGCATAATAATATTATTTCCAATACATGGGTCCACATTTAGCAATTAATTCTAGTGTGAGGATGTAGGACACAGTTGATCGCATAATAATATTATTTCCAATACATGGGTTCACATTTAGCAATTAATACTAGTGTGAGGATGTAGGACACAGTTGATCGCATAATAGTTTTCAAATATGGAAATAGGAAAATGTGATTAAAAATGGAACACATTAAAGGACAATAAACGTAAGTTAAAGACATTACCAATCACAAATGTATCCTTTAAAGCATTGGCTGGTCAAGATTTAATAATGTAAGAGGTATACGTCATTGATTGTCATCAATTGTGGTTTCTGAATAAAGCCTTTCACTTCAGAAACATTGAAGGAAATTGTCAGAATTAAACGCTTCAAGCTAGACAAATGACGATACCCACTTCATTATTGATCAGATAATAGAGTACCCTTGTGAATTGGTATGTCACTCAAAATAACAATGGTGATGCCTTTAAGTATTCCATTTATATAACAACGTTGGATGGGGGAGGGGGGTATGTGGAAAGGAATGGAGGGGGGAAAGATTGGGTACAAAATTAGAATTGTTAGAAACTAGAAACATGAAATATGATATCTCAGGTTACACCAAGGACACTAAATCTCTTGTAACTAGACAGATAACGTTTATACCCCCCACTAATGGTATATTGATGTCCCAGAAATGCCAATTAATGTGTGAACGATGGGAGGAACGCCAAGAATCAAGTTACTTCTCAATTCCACCAGAAATTCAGAAGAAAATAGAAGTATAAGATATATTTGACCAGAAAATCAATTTATTATTACCAGTAAATCAAAAGAAATTAGAAATATAAAGTATATTTGATAAGAAAATCAAAAGACATTAGAAATATAAAGATATTTCTTGACAAGAAAATCAAAAGAAATTAGATATATAAAGTATATTTGATAAGAAAATCAAAAGAAATTAGAAATATAAAGTATATTTGATAAGAAAATCAAAAGACATTAGAAATATAAAGTATATTTGATAAGAAAATCAAAATAAATTAGAAATATAAAGTATATTTGATAAGAAAATCAAAAGAAATTAGAAATATAAAGTATATTTGATAAGAAAATCAAAAACTCTTTACGCCTTTCTTCAACCTGCTGCCGACGATCGAAATCCCTAAAAAAAGTCTAAAAATCCGCAAGAATTATTAGAAATCCGCGGGAATAATTTTTATGCCGGAATGTTTGAAATTTGCTGTAATTATTAGAAATCACCGTAAATTATCAGGAATCCCCGGGAATTATTATAAAGCTACGGGATTTATCAGAAATCACCGGGAATTGTTATAAAGCTACGGAAATTATTAGAAATCCCCGGGAATTATTATAAAGCTACGGGATTTATCAGAAATCCCCGGGAAGAAATATAAAGTATTTTTGATAAGAAAATCAAAAGAAATTAGAAATATAAAGTATATTTGATAAGAAAATCAAAAGAAATTAGAAATATAAAGTATATTTGATAAGAAAATCAAAAGAAATTAGAAATATAAAGTATATTTGATAAGAAAATCAAAAGACATTAGAAATATAAAGTATATTTCTTGACAAGAAAATCAAAAGAAATTAGAAATATAAAGTATATTTCTTGACAAGAAAATCATTTTAATGTTTTCAATCTATGACATTTTTAACCCAATTCAGAACGGTATCCTGAATAGCTTTGTTCTAATCAACCATGAATTAGATATCAATGTTTATAATTTTAAAACCTGGTTATTTTCTATTGTGGTTTCTCTACAAAAGTGAGTTTTAAGCCTAGAAAAACGACAATATCTTCCGCATAATTGGTTAGATATAGGTTACAGGGTTCCTTGAAGGGTCCCCTGAAGATCTCAACTGGCGTTATTAAGTGCACCAAGCTTATTGAATTAATCACATTTTTGGGAAAGAAAGAGGTCGTGCGTATGGAAGAAACATACAATAGCAATTGGGTTTATTTAAATTTTTTTAATCATATACAAATGAAGTACCGTCTGCAAAGCATGTATAATCATATGGTAGGGCGAACCGCGTCAGTTATATCTCCCTTCTATTCCTTACTCCCTGTGTTGGGCTGAGAAAGGAAAGGAAGAGTGCAAAAAACTTGTCACAAACAGTTCAAAATGCTTGATATAGGGAAATACGTTTAAAATACTGTATTTTTTACAGCTTTCCACAAGAAAAAATAACCTTGATTTTTTTAATGTTTCCAGAATTATTCATAAATTTTTCTCAGAAAATCATATATTTCTGTGATAAATCTAATTCAGCGGTAAACCCTCTATTATGCTTAGAAGGGAAAAAGCATTTTTTAACACTTAACACTAAATTTATCTCAACCCCGATGTTTTAAATCTATCTCCTATATCCTATAGCTATGAGGATCTGCCAGTAAAGCAGTATTAGTATAAACAATTTAAACTTTTTTGCAAGACAGGAATTTAAGAAATATCTTGAACAGAAATAAATCCTAATGATGATGTAATACTAAACTAATAAAGATGCTAAGAATATAAACAATGCACATTTTACGCACAATTTAAATATATTTTCTTTAATTTTGTACTTTATGCATTTAAGTATTAGGCTAAAAATATTGTTGTTTGTTTTATTCATCTGTTTATTTACTTATTTATCAAGTATTAGAAAAGATTGATATAATAGTTTATAAAGTTTGATAAAGGTTGTAACCAGTAAATATATATTAGACGTTTTTATGGAAATGATATCAAATCAATATCAATGAAAAGATTTTTTTAAAAGTTTAAAAATAGTAAAAATTCTACAGAAAGTTTGATTAAAAAAAAATAGTTGAGGTTTTTTTTCATGTTCCAAAAATATTTTAATTTTGCTCAGTACATTCTTTGAGTCTTAATTTATTTCATCCAAAATATCTTAATATACTGGTATTATGGAAGTATTCTAAAATACTTGTATCATGGAAGTATTCTAAAATACTTGTATCATGGAAGTATTCTAAAATACTTGTATCATGGAAGTATTCTAAAATACTTGTATCATGGATTATGGAAGTATTCTGTCAAGTTTCTGATTTAAAACTTTATAGGATTTTAATCACATTTTAACAATTGTGAACTGAAGTACATTTTAAGTTAGCAATTGAGAACTGAAGTACATTTTAAGTTAACAATAGAGAACTAAAGTACATTTTAAGTTGACAATTGTGAACTGAAGTACACTTTAAGTTAACAATTGAGAACTAAAGTACGCCCTGATATTTTAACTTTAAAATATGAAAGTAACAGTTTCTAAATAGTTAAAATAGAACATTATCATTTTATAAAACCTTTCAGAAAGCAATATGATTTTTTTAGAGAAAATATCAAACCCTGAATAAAATATAGAAATTAACTCAAAAGATAAAAGTTGGTTTAAGTGAATTTGAAATAAAGTTGAAACAAGATTTAGATTGAACATTAATCTCTAACAGTCCTCTGAAAGAATAAAAATTTGAGGAAACATTAAAGGAAGGATTAATTTAAATTTATTTAAAAAGTTTTTGGAAAACATTTTTTTTATATAGAAGGTGCAACAAGCTTTCAAACAATCAGAAGGAAGTATAAAGCGTTATTGTCTGATCCCGTATTAATGATATATCCATGTTTTCTCTTGGAAAATTGATTATTTTCATTTATGGTTTCTTCAAAGTTAAACTCAAGCGCAATTCTGGTTCAGTGACAATTGAGAAAAAAAGAGTTAAAAACTTGAGAAAAAAATAGAAAACCGAGGATATCTTTCACATTTTTGATCAGATAGAGGTTTAAAGTCTGCCAAGGATTTCTTTTACCTGACTTCCTCTGTCCACCCAACTCCCATCAGAGCCTGTATCTCCATCCTGAACAAAACAAAATAGATATGTTTAATAAATTATTTCCTGTTTTACAAAAATTCATTAGTTTTTACTTTTGTTCCCCTGTCCTAAGAAAGTCATAGTTAATGTCTTATCTATGAAAAGTCCTGTCTATTAGAAGTTCTGAGGTCCTCTCTATTGAAAACGCCCCTCTAGGAAAAGTCCTATCTAGGAAAAGTCCTATCTAGGAAAAGTCCTATCTAGGAAAAGTCCCCTCTAGGAAGGAAAAGTCCTATCTAGGAAAAGTCCTATCTAGGAAAAGTCCTATCTAGGAAAAGTCCTATCTCTAAAAAGTCCTATCTAGGAAAAGTCCTATCTAGGAAAAGTCCTATCTAGGAAAAGTCCTATCTAGGAAAAGTCCTATCTAGGAACAGTCCTATCTAGGAATACGCCTCTTTATGAGAAGTCCTATCTTTAAAAAGTTGGAGCAATTTAAAATACAGAGACCGTCCTCGAAATCTCGAAATATCGGAAACTTTCCAAAGCCGTAACTACGGCCACGGAGGTCTCAGAACACTCAGCTTCGGGTTCCGGAATTTTTTTTCATATTGTTACAAAATTTCAGCAAAATCTTTGACATGCCGTCAATCAAGTGGCTGACTTAACATGGAATGACCCATCCATAAAAATGCCCAATTGCCATCTCTTAAAAGAAACGTCATTAAATTTTAAAATGTTCATCTCTATGGAATGTTCTATCTATTTAATATTCATTATTTATGAAATGAACACTAAAAAGCAAAATTACAAAACGGATAAATGTTTTCAAGAATTACCTCCCTAGGAGGTTTATTCTATGGGTAAATTTAAAAGGGGGGGGGGAGATACACCCCCTGAAAATTAAACATCAAAAGGAGAGTTCTTCATCCTTTTAGGTACTTAATCCAAAAATATATTTTCAAGTAAATATTCATCATTGTCCAACACAACTGTACCTTGAGTTTTCTACTTCTGTTAGGCGAGGAGGAGAAGGGCGGACTCTGTAAAGGGTTGGAGTAGAACAGATTCCGTAGAGAAAACCGTGATCTTGGTTTAGATTGACCGGGACGGTATACAGGCCGACCCTAAACAAGATATATAGGCTTAGACTGACGAGGACGGTACACTGGCCGACCCTAGACAAGATATATAGTTTTAGATTGACCAGGACGGTACACTGGCCGACCCTAGACAAGATATATAGGTTCAGATTGAACCAGGACGGTACACTGGCCGACCCTAGACAAGATATATAGGCTTAGATTGACCAGGACGGTACACTGGCCGACCCTAGACAAGATATATAGGTTTAGATTGACCAGGACGCTACACTGGCCGACCCTAGACAAGATATATAGTTTTAGATTGACCAGGACGGTACACTGGTCGACCCTAAACAAGAAATATAGGTTTAGTATGACCAGGACGGTATACTGGCCGACCCTAATCAAGAGATATAAGCTTAGTATGCCAACTGGTCGACCTTTTATGAGAAATCTAGGTTTAGATTGACCAGGACTGTACACTGGCCGACCCTAGACAAGATATATAGGCTTAGATTGACCAGGACAGTATACTGGCCGAACCTAAACAAGATATATAGGTTTAGATTGACCAGGACGGTACACTGGCCGACCCTAGACAAGATATATAGGTTTAGAATGACCAGGACAGTATACTGGCCGACCCTAGACAAGATATATAGGTTTAGATTGACCAGGACGGTACACTGGCCGACCCTAGACAAGAAATATAGGTTTAGATTGACCAGGACAGTATACTGGGCGACCCTAGACAAGATATATAGGTTTAGATTGACCAGGACAGTATACTGGCCGACCCTAGACAAGATATATACGTTTAAATTGACTTTATTGATTTTACAGACGCAGACAGGTTTCTAAAAACTCCTAAACCTATCAAAATGTGAAGAAAAATCGTTTTCAAATTAAGATCTTAGAATTTATAATACATATCTGATTTTTCCCTCTAATTTCATCCCCCCCCCCGCTCCATCAACTAAAATACTAAATCTTAAATCTAAAATTTAAAATATTTGATTATTTTCCCAGAAAGTAATTTAAGACTAAGTTCAGTCATTTTACAAGGAACATAATTGAAAAATGTTCGCATTTTAATAAATTTAAAATTTTCAGAAAAATAAATTTTAATTCCCTGCATGATCTTGAATTTATATTAAAGAAACATTAAAACAAAGAATGAAAAAAAACTCATTCCGACATGACATTTTTAATTTAATACTACCGTTATGTACTACGTGTTGTTTATAATTAATACTGTTTCAGCTGTAAACATGAGTAATACAATCAAGAAATAACAGATCTATGTATTACATAATTACCCCGTATTTTTGGACAAGCATTCTTATTTATTATTTTAAAAATAAGGTTTTTAACTTTAAAGCACATAAAGGCTAACTATAAAATTTACATATGTTGAGGATAAAATCACAACTTGTGTTTTCATCTTTATACAAATTTAGCTTGTCTGTCTGCCTGTTTGTTTGTATCCAATAAACGTCAAAACGGCTGAACCGATCAGGTCCAAATTTGTGTGGAACCTCACGTGGCCCATGGGAAGGTTCATGGTCAATCAGACTTTAAATATGTAATCTTCAAATATTTTTATCTTAAATTATTTAACTTTGTAAAATTTTGAAAATGCGCGAAAAAATATTATCAAATCCGCAAATTTAAAAAAAATGTTTATACTGTACAAAGAGCAGACGTTCACAGATAAAGCCACGCCTAGTTCAATTCAATATTATCCCATTTTATTGCCCGTTCGTTTTATGTCGTTGTAATTTCAAGTGAATAAGATGGATTCACAAGGTACTCTTTTAAAAAGATAAACATATCATTTATTCTTAATCAGAAGGCTTTTAAGGGTGCCAAGGTGTGGAAAATAATTAAATAATTATATATGCGTTTATTTTACCAGGCAATAATGAGCTCTTAATTAATTCATTAATTTCTCTAAATTAAATTACGTTTAAGTAATTGGATTTTTGTTTCTAAACTAAATAAAAATAATTTTCTTTGTAGAATTTAAAGCAGCTGGATAAACATAAAAAAAAACATCAAGGACAGTCTGACAGTTGAGTTGAGTAATAATAATAAATCATTAATAAAAGACAGTTCTAAAATCATATTTCAATATAAGACAAAAACAGAATTGTATTTGTAACAATCTAAAAATCTCTTCGAGTTGACTATTTGTAGCAAATATCGTAGTAATCACTATATTTGTTAACCTGAACATACCAGGATATATTACGTTGTACATTGTCTGTAAATCTAAATGCGCTTATAAATAACTACGCAAAATTTGTAATGCGATTAACCTAGCCTAGCTACGTCTGTAAATACGTCAAACCATGCATTGTGATTAGCTTAACTACGCCTCTATAGCCTCTATATATATATATATATAGAGAGAGAGAGAGAGAGAGAGAGAGAGAGAGAGAGATCAATGAAAAGATTTTTTTAAAAGTTTAAAAATAGTAAAAATTCTACAGAAAGTTTGATTAAAAAAAAATAGTTGAGGTTTTTTTTCATGTTCC